TTCTTTGGTTTTTACTTTGCTATAGGTTTGACTGTTTGCTGGAGAGAGACGGAGAGAGATGGCCATGCTGCAATCTCTTCTCTTCCACTCTTCCTTTCAGGATTTTGGCACACATGCATAGACATCCAGAGTCTTTTCTCAAGCTGTTGTGTTTAGGACCAGAACTGCTAATTGACCATGTAGGATCCAGCCACCCTATCTACTATGCCACTGACTGACTGTATAAAGGTATTTCTTTAGAAGAAAATTCTGGAACTATGTCCTCTGCCATGTTTCATCAAAGCAAGTCCATGTAAAATAACAACATGGAATAGCAGGAGAGCTGCCTTGCAGCATTGTAAATAATGGAATCTGAGTTTGCTCTGAGTCTTTTAACTCAATAATTTCCTCTCCCTCCCTTTTCAACCTACTCTCTTGATCAGTGATTGAGTAGATAGACCTTTAAAGAAGGAAAATAACAAGACTTGCGCTTTATAAAGGCTAATTGGTAAGTGCGAAGATAAATTAAGAGAGGGAGGCAGTCACACCAGTGACAGCCATCTCTGGTCCAGAAGGACAGTGCTTGGATCAGAGATAGTGCAGATGGCAAGGATGACATTGTAGAGTTATGGGGCATAGGACCTGCCAAATTATTAGAAGTGGAATAAAAAAGTGAAGGAGGACTCAAAGGTGACTCCGAATTAAAGTTTCATGCTAACATGACTATAAGAATGGTGGTGACATTAACACAGAAGCAAGATGGAGAAATACATTTTACTTATGGTGTTTTCCTGAAATGCTGTCAGATTTGCCACCTGTGAAGGTGGAATAAAGTCATGTTCAAACTTGCAAAATTTCAAAATAATGTAGCTCCTATGCAACCTTTGACAAGTTTCTGACATATATGTTCTGCCAAAACAAGAACGTAGACCACAAAAATAGACACAGGATCTGGAAAGAAAGGAAGAAGGAGATATGGCACAAGGAAGAGGCAAAGTGAGCCTCTAGGATGATGGTGAAGGCTGATTCCACTCTGGTTTAGGCCAGCACGGTCCAGATGGGAGCAAGTTCGAAGACCTGAGAAGAGGTTTTTTAATAGTAGTGTGCACATCTGGAGTTCTCAGGTGGACTTGGAATCTGAGCCCACAAATGGCAATGTGGGTTCTAGAGCTATAGTTCAACACACTGCTGCCTGTGACACTGAGACTGGGCCTGTTCGTGTGTTGTGAGAAGAAAATTAACTAACAATGTGGGCATTCATCAGTTGAATTAATGATTAATGTCTAGAAAATTTAAAATAAAAATATGTTATATCTAGAGTAATCAAAGATTACCCAAGAAAGGAAAGATAGTCAGTGTAGTATAGGTCTCAACTGAGAATAGGCTGAGATGATAATACTGGGCTAGCTGGAGGGATAGTGATTAAGGTGGCTGGATCTGACATGGCCAACCACACAGTTTAAGTGCTGGACTAAGCTGCTTGAGAAACATGCTGGACATGTGTGTGTGGGTGCCCAAAATCCCTAAAGAAGGGAGAAATGAAACCCAAAAGGAGGGAGAAATGAAAGAGAAGGGAGGGATTGCAATGTGACTGTACTATGAGGGATACTTTCTCTCTTGCTCTCTCTCTCTCTCTCTCATAAGTACAGGCAAGTAAAAAGATTATTAATGTAAACATTAACTATTAATTTAAGTACAAGCTTGTTCTACTGAAATAACAGGAGGAAAGAAAAAGTAGCGTTCAGGGAAGGTAGCACTATGGGCAAAAGAGAGCTAAATCCTTTTTTCTTTTTTTACTGGAAAATCAAAAAATAAAGACTAAAGTTAAATGCAAAATCAAAAGGCATTATAAATAAATGGTTTAGAGCTATGGAGCTAAAACAAAGGAATCAGCTGAAAGAGCTGAATATGTCTGTCTCTGGATAAAGAGAAAGAGAGAGAGAGAGTGTGTGTTTGTGTGTGTGTGTGTGTAGGCACTGGAGGTGGTGATGAGGGCCTGCTGTTTCTTAAAAATAAGCCTTATACAATTGTGTAAATTTTAAAAATATCTATATTGTACTTTGATATAAAATAAAAGACTAGGACCAGCTCCTGTGATGTGGCTGGTAGTGAGTTGGAAATTCTGTTTGTTCCATTCTCGTGATCTCTCTCTGAAGCACACACTTTAGCACTAGTGTTTTTTGTTTTTTTTAATATTTAAACAAATTTTGAGAGGGAAAAAGCAAAGGAGAAAAGGATTCATCCTAGTAAGATGGATGGATAATTCCAATCAAGGTTTAGTTTTGAAGGAGAAGGGAAAATATGAAAATACTGCAATAAGGAAAATGAAAATGAAACTACAGGGAAATTGATTATATATTATCTCTTAAAGGTTTAGTTTTGAAGGAGAAGGGAAAATATCAAAATACTGCAGATAAGAAAAATGAAAATGAAGAAGCTACAGGGAAATTGATTATATATTATCTCTTTACCAAAAATAAGAATCTCATGTCTTCCTTGGAAGGTCAAAGCATCTGAGTACTAGAAAATGGTGGGGCTCTGACAAATGGTAAGGAAACACATACACAAGAATCCTAAGCACCAGTAGGATCACAATGACATTAAATCATCTGAATTTTTGGAGCACTTTGTCAGTAAAAGTTTACTGTTTTCTGTAGCAATTGTGATCTATGGGTAAAAAAATAAATAGCAAATTTTTTCTAGCTTATAATACGTCAGGAAATGGTGAAGATGAACTAAAGGAAGAAAGAGATTCTAGATCATTTCTAGTCCCTTAGTCATTAGAATAGCAAGGGAAGCCAGATTAGGAGGATGGCAAGGAATTTAGAAGAGACCAAGTGACTGGAATTAATAATTAGAAAAAGGAACAGAATGAGTAAAGAGGATGGGAGATTGACAATGACAACATCTGAGATTAGAACAGTCAGGTGATGCAAAGGTAGGGGAGCCCCTAGTCCATGGAGGCAGTTGAGTCAGGCAGGTCAACAGCAGTAGGTGACACTGATGCAGCACAGAGGCAAGACCCCATTCACAGAGGCTCAGGTGCAAGGTGGAGATGTAAAACCAGTCAGTGAATCAAAAGTACCGATGGTCCTCTGGAGACTAACGCAACCACAAATGTGTTCGCTAGAACTGGGTACAGCAAGTTACTCCAGAGACTTCAGGAGCCCCAGAAATTGCCCTTACGCACGATATTCTGCAATCACAATGTGCCCAGAATGCATTACCATACTTCAAGCAGTTAATTAGTCAACGCATGTAGCTTCTGAAATAAGCAGATAAATTAGTAAGAAAAATTGAATCTTTGTTACGTGATTTTTCTTAATGATTAGAGTATGTTCCAAATAAACACAAAAACAAATTGATTGCCAAAATCCATGTTAATGCACTTTTAATTCACAAGGGTTAAGAGCATAAAAGTCAGGATATTGAAAGTTAAAGTTCTCATAGAAACATTAATTTGACAACATTATGCATACTATGTGTGGGAGGCTTATATTTTATAGCGTAAAAGCAGTAAGAAATATTGCAAAATGTGTCTCAGTTAAACAAAATAACAAATTCAGAGGAAAGTCATTAAACATGATTATGGGGAAAAATTGTTTGGCAACCCCCAAAGAAGGATTGTAAAACTTAATTTTAGAAAGTAATGCCTTCAAATCTTAAAAAATGTTTTCAATAGGAAATATTCATTTTTACCCAAAATCAATTTCCCTGGCACATTGTATATTTCAACATTAATTTATATCTTTCATTTGCAGTCCAGATTTGATTCTAAGAGACCAAAAGGAGAACTGACTGGCTGTTTTATGATGTAGCTGATAAACATTTCAAATCAGAGAGTAAAAATAATATTTAAGGATTTAAAATATGTTTTGTTCAGTATGTAGACAAAATAGGGGAGATTTTAACTAGAGGAAGCCTACCGATGTACTACCTTATGTGTTTTCCCTCTATCTATTTCTGCATACTCATTCGTATATATACATCATGTAAATTTCAGTTCCCCATGCAAAATGCCTTAGGTAGGTGGCATAGAAAAGGAAGAAGCTCAGGGTATGATGAGGGAAGTAAATATACCAGACAGCAAACCTGTAGCCTTTTTAATGAGTCTGTATTTCTGCTCCCACATCACAAACCAGACAGCAGGCCTGGAAGACTGTATGCTCCAGGAAAACTGGACTGAGCCACAAGGATGGAGCTGCTGATGCTCTTCTCACCTTGGCCCTCAGTAGTTCTGTTTCCTCTCCAGGTGACCAGCAAGCAGGAGCAGTAGCCTTATACGGTAACCTTTGGGAGGCTGTCACCTCCCAGTTCAGTCAGAACTAGAAGAGTAATGAAGGAAGAAAGAAGGGATGATCACAGGCGACATAGTTGTTCAAAGGAATCCTCTTGTTAAATTAAATGCTATGTTACCAGCATCATAATTTTAATGATTACTCAATTGCAATGATTTAATTTTAAGTAATGATAACATTTCGTGATCTTTTAAAGCAAATAGAAATGTTTTTATTTGGTGCAAAATTAACAAATGAAAACCAATGAACTGTCTTTTGAAAAGAAAACAGATCACAACAACGTAAAGGCAGACATTTTGCTAAGATTTTTACTTTCTATTGTATTTTATGTCATAGCACAGCACTCTACAGAACAATAGGAGTCCATTCATAGGAGTGAAATATGGAAATTCCTGAGCTAGCAGACTCCTGCCCCGGTATTCAAACCACCTCTTCAAAAAGGGCACAATGGTCTACATTTTTCACTGAAAAAAATTTATGTAAGCCACATTCCACAGCAATAGACTCTTTATATATTTGATGAAAAATATGTTTTGTGTATTTTCTTTCATCTTTACCCCCTGCTGTTTTCTGTTGCCAAACAAACAGAAGGACAAATGCAAACTGCCAATTCGCAGAATGTACAAACAAGTGTTATTGAATATTCAGAAGTATGGTGGTATTTCTAAAGTTCAACAACAAATCAAAGTCTTTCTTTTGTTTCTACTTTTCCTTATTCAGGCACCACAAGGCCACATAAGGAGGGTGAGGTCCCTGGAGTGGACTATATTTTCATCACTGTTGAAGATTTTATGGAACTGGAGAAAAGTGGTGCTCTCCTAGAAAGTGGGACTTATGAAGGTAAGCACAGCTTTCCTGCGAAATCTATTTCTTGTTGCGACACATTTTTCTCATTTGATTGAAATGCATTGAGACACAAGGTTACCAGTGTGCTGCTGATTTTTTTTTTTTTGAGAGATTTGATGAGATAATTTTAGAAACACGTCTTAAAGAAAAGTTAAAATACAACTGAATTAAATCTGCTCTTAAGATGCTGAGAGAAATGTTTGAGAAATGTTGTGTATATACCCATGGAAACAACCTTGTGATTGTCTCCTGGGGCTAAGCTATAGTCTTCTAGGTAAAGGTTTTTACCTGTAGGGAGCACCAAGAGGGTAGCACAGGGTTCCAATCCTATCGTTATCTAAGTGGCTTTCTCAAGTTTCACCTCAATGGTCTTCACTTGCCCCTTATGCAAAATGAGGTATGAAAATAGCATCTGTTTCTGGACTCCAGAACTCAACCACAATAGCAAATCTCCTGTGTACGAGTCAGACACAAATGACAAATGAAGCCAAAACTGTGAATGAGGGAAGTAAATTTCAGTGGAAGGCACGCAGTAACGTGACCCGAGTTCCCAACTTGGTTTCATTACTTATACCCTATATATATTAAGTAATTCAGTTCCTATCACTGAACCTTCGTAGTCTAAGCTATAAAAGGGGAATGATTGCATTGACAAGTACAAATAAGTAACAGTATGTTGATATGATTCCAGTTCTACATTTTAGTAACATTTACTTACATCTACTTTATGATGTTAGGTCTAATGAGCTTACATATCTGTATATACATATAATGAAATATTTTAATAATGTAACAAAAAACCACCTAGAATATAATACCTTTCATTCTTCATGATTATTCAATAGGTAGTGTATGCAGTTGTTAAGAACAAAGATTAATCTGGTTTTACAGAACTGCAATTAATAATAAGTGATATTAAAAGCAAAATTCACATATGTTACTGCTTAGTCCATCAAAAATCTGAAGTGTACCACCTGTCATGGGATAAGCTGGGTTTGCCATCGTACCAATTTGGCCCTCTACTTTCTCCTTCATTTACTTAGTTTACTAAATCGTAGTACAGTGGATTAAGTTAGTCAAGAACTTAGTATTTTGAGGTTCTTAAAAGTATTAGAATCTCTTCTGTTAATAAGCACACCTCAAGCAATTTTGGTGGAGACATTTAGTTGCTTGTTGCCACATTTACAGGAAATAAGCAAAATACCCAGGAAAGGGAAATGGTTTCATGCATTAGTGCTGCATCCTCTTTACATTGTCAGAATAAAAGATAGTGGAGATTGATGGAAAGCATTTTAAGTAAAGAAGCTGTGTTGATAAAATAAAGCTGTCTTAAACTGTAGATGAAAAATAGCGGTCTTTATAAATCATAGAAAATAATTATGTCAAAGAAGTCAGAGTAAACAATAAATATTTTTCTATGAGCTTTGTGGGATTATTTAGTGACATCACTAGTTGGCATGTCTACCAGTAATGTATTATACTTAATCACTTTATGTAAATGTCATATTTATGTAGAGAAGAGGCAAAGGCTTAAATACAGGATCATTCCAAGAGTAGTATGATTGATGATAGGACTTTTTCATTTATAAAACTAAAGACTATGTAAACTGATGGTATATAAGCTGAAAATTTGAACCCTACTGTTCACATTAAATTTCTATTATTTTCCAGATAAACTGGATATTATAAAACTTATTATCAATATTTTAAAGTATAGCTTAGACTAAATTTTAGGTTCCAGTTAATTTTTTGAGTGAAATATACTCAAACTGCATAAAGATAATCAAGTTTTGGTTATAACATATCCAGTCAGAGTATGTCACCCTAAATCTTCTTCAGACATCTTTTCAGAACTGAGGGTTTAGTTCTCTGGGTTTGGTGGTGCCATGCTTTGGATAATGTTGATTCTCCAAAGGTTTATGTTTTGGAATTTAGTTATCAATGTAATAGCATTGAAAAGCGGTGAAGTCTACTGGGCAATGATTGAATCATAGAGGCTTTAGAATCAAGAATGGATTAATGTTGTCTCACAAGAATCCAAGTTCTGTCTTTATAAGGAGAGGTTAGTTCTTGGGAGAAAGGATTGTTATAAAAAAAAATTACCTTCTCTCCAACTTGCTCTCCCTGTATGTGCCCACCATCTTCTCTGCTTGGTCAGTTCTATTGTGATGTAGGCTGAACTTATGCAGGTACTATGCCTTTGGAATTTCTAGCCACCAGAACCAGAAGTCAGATAAACCTCTTTTTATGAATTACCCAGTCACAAATATTTCCATTATCAATTCAATAATGAACTAATACAGATGCCAAGTTCTTAATCACCCCAGAGTGTGTAGATCTGATTATTAAATAGTAAGACTGATTTTCATATGTGACTTTGACAATGGTATCAATATCACTGCTTATACACACACATTGTGTACATGGATACGTGGGAAAATATCTCCTGAGCCCTCATAACCACCTCAGTGGAAATGCAAGGAGTATTCTCGGATCTTTGGTTCTTCAGATTTTTCTATAACCACAACTGAGGAGAAAGAAAAATTCAGCTTCTAATAAAAATCATTGCATTCCTTCAGGATTGGTTGTAAAGTCTAAATTTAGGACTATGACTTCATGTGATTTTGTCAAAGAAACCTATAAGTTGCCTTTGCTGCTGTTGGTGCTTTCAGAATGAACAGGATATCAGTCATGGGGAACTCAACTAGACAAAGAAAAATGGGAGAGCTTTCACAGTTGTCAGGCTTTCACAATAATCAATCTCACATAAGGTTTTTCATTTTTTGGTTTTCCTTTTTTAAAAAAAATAAAAGTCCAGTTTCTATACCACAATAATCAATCTCACATAAGGTTTTTCATGTTTTGGATTTCTTTTTTTTAAAAAAATAAAAGTCCAGTTTCTATATATTGTATGTTCCCCTCTTCAGTGTTTGGATCATTGTTCCTTTCTCTCCTCATTGCTACTATATTAATGCCTTCTCAGTACTTATTAGAGCACTTGGCCAGACTAAACAATCCATATCTGGTATTCTGCGAATACACCAAAAAAAAATAAATAAATTGAGTAGTATCTCTCAGCATTAAAGACCTTCTGTTAACCATATGGGGTTCTTAAGACTGAAAGGAGCTGTCAAAACCCAAACCAGAAGAGCAAGACTACTAATGCAGCTGAAAGTAGGGAAATAACCTCTGTTTTTTCTTGCCCATCCTGAATACTTACCAACTTGGTGCATTACTTGTTGTGAATATTGGAAACTACTTCACTTTGTTTTATTAGCAAAGATCAAGGGAATCCTTTATAAAACATCTAGTTAAGCTGCTAATCATTGAGAAAACCAATTTTGTAGTGTTTATGTGCTTCACCACCATCACTCACCTTAAGAACAGGAAATACTCATCTGAAAGGAGTTATAAGGATGTAGTTTTAAGCACTTCTTATGTGCATATATTTTTGTACCATTGTCAATTCTAATTTTAATCTTGGTGGATAGATATAAACAAAATGGAATTTGACCTTTGATTAGAAGTCATATAGACTGTCCTAAATTGTAGTTCTGCCTCTTAGAAATTGGCTCAAAGTCTTTGCTCCAGAAGTGTAATTCTGTTGCTTACCAGAACCTTCAAGGAAGACTTTAACATGCTTTAGTCATCATCATCCACAGTTACGTCACAGAGCCCGAGGCAGAATTTTAGTGAATTCTTAAAGCCTTTCTTCTGCCTCACCCTTCAATCTGCATGCCTCATTTCAGTTTCCTGTAGAACTGCTAATAAATGGTCTTGCATGTGGAATGGCTCAGAAGAGTCGACTGTGATGGGACGCTTCAGGTGTTGGGAAAGGGACTCTTCCATGACTTGGTCTCCTTTTCGTTTTTTCATTTTGAATTAGGTTTAAAATTAAGTTGGTAAATTAATAAATCTTCTAGTAATAATCCATTATTTACTTGTAGAATGATGCCTGGTCATGGGCTTGACATAACCTATGTGACATAAACAATACTGTGAAGGTGTAGGCTTCTCATGAAACACAGACCACAAATCTCTTGGATGAATATTGATAATTCCCTTGGGCTTGAGGTCATGTACAAGTATAGGTGAGACACCAAGAGATGGAATTAAATGCACAAGTCTGGCACTCCAATGGCTAGTACGCTAAGTACAAGCTTCTTTGGTTAAGTACAGTAAGAACAAGCTTCTTTGGTAACTGTCCAAAGTGCTGAACTACCCTGAGTTCTAAATCAGTGAAACCTGACTGACCTACTTCCAGTTGTCAGGAATGTTACATTCATGGTTTCAATCATCACTCATACCAGTTGTCTGCCTCAACCTGTGTTCTGAATGTCACCATTAACTAAGCCTATATCCCCTGGGCTGTGCCTGGACTTATTGCATTTATTTCACCTATTAAGATCATCTGTAGTCTTGTTCCAGAACAGCACTTTGGTTGTAACATCTGCTATCATATATGACTGTCTGGCTTTTAAAGTAAAACAACTATTTTCATATCTATTGAAAAATACCACTGGTCCTACAATTCTACTGTTTCCTTTAAATAGACAAAATCCCAAATGTAATATTGCCCTAATGTTTAAGAGCATCACAACAAGACCAGCAGGTTATTTGGATAACTGATAGAAAACAGTGTAAATATGGCACTTATGTAGTTTCTCTCTCTCTTTCTCTCTCTCTCTCTCTCTGGTGAG